TATGTTGAAAGAGCAACAATGGTCACAAGTGCATTGTGGGTGAGCACATACATTGCACCACGACACACAACATGAGGCACCGCTTGCAATGTGGGTGTGCACACCCAGTGCAAAATGATGCAGCATGGGGCGTTGTGTGCAGTGTCAGCACACACCACGATGCACACCCACTTGCGCCCGGTGTTAATCGTGTAGTAGGGTTGTAAAGGTCGAATTGGTGCACCTAACACAAGTGGTAGTGTTACAACACTACACTAGACACGGTGTGTGTAGGTGGGTGTAGTAGCGCTGTAAACAACTACACAGTGTGTTACAGCTTTGTCACTACAACAGTACAAAACACTAAACGTAGTGTTAACACGTCGTTTAACGCACACCACGGGTGTTTAGTGTTTTCTAATATTGGTCACCGCATGTGGAGGCACCANGAGTTCAACAATGTCTGTGAAGGGTGTATGCTCAGAAAACAACATCGACAACCCTTCCCATCCGACAAAGCTTGGAGAACCAAAGAGCCATTGGAGTTAATTCATACAGATGTTTGTGGTCCAATGCGTACTCCGTCAAATAATCAAAACAGGTATTTCATCCTCTTCATTGATGATTATAGTAGAATGACATGGGTTTATTTTTTGTGAGAAAAATCGCAGGTTTTTGATATTTTTAAAAAATTCAAAGCTCGTGTTGAGAAGCAAAGTGGTCACAACATTAAGACCATAAGAAGTGACAGAGGCAAAGAATATACTTATAATGAATTCAACAAGTTCTGTGAAGATGAAGGCATAGAGCATGAACTTACAATTGGGTACTCTCCAGAACAGAATGGAGTATCCGAAAGAAAAAATTGAACAGTTATGGAGACTACAAGAGCCATGCTCATGGAAAAGGGTTTTCCCAAAATTTTCTGGGCAGAGGTAGTAAGCACTGCTGTCTATCTACTCAACAGATGTCCTACAAAAGCTGTGCAAGATAGGACACCAATTGAAGCTTGGAGTGGGCAAAAGCCATCAACAAAGCATCTCAGAGTTTTCGGATGCATATGCTACACACATGTCCCACAAGAGAAAAGAGGCATACTGGATGAGAAGACTGAGAAAGGAATTTTCTTAGGCTATAGCACTTAATCAAAAGGCTATCGAGTCTATAGCTTAAGGAAAGAAAAACTCATAATTAGTCGAGACATAAGCTTCGATGAGGATGCTGCATACAATTGGGAGACAAAAAAAGTTGAAAAAAAGACTATCAACTTGCCTCTATTACCAAGTCAAAGAATTGAAGAAGATCGTGATCAAATCAATTCGCCAACACAATCGGAACCGGAACAAGTTTCACAGTCTACTCCGGACTCAACACCAAGGCGAACTAAATCCTTAATGGAAATATATGAAACATGCAACTTGATGATCATAGAACCAGAAAGCTTTCAAGAAGCTTTTAAGGAAGAAAAATGGAGAAAAGCTATGAATGAAGAGATAAAAATGATCGAAAAAAATGAGACTTGGGAGCTTGTGAATCGTCCACAAGACAAAGACACTATTGGAGTTAAGTGGGTCTACAAGACAAAGCTTAACTCAGATGGCTCAACCCAGAAGCTTAAAGCAAGGCTAGTTGCCAAAGGATACTCACAACAATATGGTATCGACTACAATGAGATATTTGCTCCAGTTGCTCGCCTTGACACAATCAGGGCATTAATAGCACTAGCTGCACAGAAGAAATGAAAAACTTTTCAACTTGATGTAAAATCTGCATTCCTCAATGGCTATCTTAAGGAGGAAATCTATGTGGAGCAACCTCAAGGGTTCGTGGTGCAAGGACAAGAAGACAAAGTTCTCAGATTAAATAAGGCATTATATGGCTTAAAACAAGCTCCACGAGCTTGGTACAACAGAATCGACAATTACTTCTTGGGGCAAGGATTCAGGAGGAGCTATAATGAGCCAATACTCTACATCAAGACTCAAGGTACAAATGACACTCTCATTGTTTCTTTATAGGTTGACGATCTCATTTATACTGGAAATAATGAGAAGATGGTCAAGAAGTTTAAAAAAGACATGATGAAGACTTTTGAGATGACTGATTTGGGCCTAATGCACTATTTTCTTGAAATTGAAATAACTCAAGAAGAAGTAGGGACTTTCATCTCACAAAAGAAGTATACATAAACTCTTTTGAAGAAATTCAAAATGGAGGGGTGCAAAACAGTCTCCACCCCATTAGACAACACTAAAGCATTCAAAAAGGAAGATGGCTCACCAAAGGCAAATGAATCACAATTTCAGAGTATGATTGGAAGTCTTCTCTATTTAACTGCTACAAGACTAGATATCATGTATGCAGTTAGTTTACTATCAAGATTCATGCAGAATCCAAGTCAAGTCGACCATGGAGGAGCTAAAAGAATACTGAGATATTTGCAAAGTACAAAGAGCTATAGAATTTGGTACTGAGTCACACATGACTCTAAGCTCATTGGCTACACAAACAGTGACTTGGCAGGTTCGGTTGATGACATGAAAAGTACATCTGGCTATGCTTTCACAATTGGATCAAGGATATTTTCTTGGGCTTCAAAGAATCAAGTAACACTTGCCCAATCATTAGCTGAAGCATAATATATTGCAACAACAATAACAATGAGCCAAGCTACATGGCTCAAAAAGATATTTGATGACATGGGAGAACCGCAGGTTGGTGCTACTGAAATCTACTGCGATAGCAAATCAGCTATTGCAAAGGCAAATAATACCATATTTCACAGCAGAACCAAACATATTAAATCGTAATTCATGAAAGAAATAGGGTGGAGGTCTTATTATCTTATATTTGTTACACGTCTTAAACAAAACAAATTGATATAATAGGCCATATGGTTTGATGGTCGTTTCCTCTTACTATGAGATGTGTGTTTGAATCCTTTTAGCCACTACATGGCACTTTATTTTCACCTTATATAGGAACCCCCCCTCCCCCCCCACCCAAAGAGTACGTTAAGCTTTTGGGGCTCTGCCAGGAGGAAACATCACTTTTTTGAAAAGTCATATTGGGGTTATCTTGAGATGTATGGCTTAGATTAGTCTTACACTTGACACGTGGCATTAGTTAGGATTGAAAAATGATAAAATAAATTAAAATACATTTTTTGAGAAAAATATTAATTTTTAATCACTAAAATTGAGAAAAATCTGAAAAAATAGTTTTGGAGGATGGGGGTTGCTTGGAACACCTGCAAAAAAATTTTTGCACCAAAATAAGCTGGTTTCATGACGAAAAATATTGATAGAAATGGTTTTTCACAAATATTTAATTTTCAGAAATTATAAAAAATTGGGAAAATTTATTTTGTGGAAATGGGATTGCATGGAATCAAAAGGGGACACTCCCACACTACTTTTATGAAAAGATGAGCTAGTCTCATGCAACAAAAGGTGCACAAAGACAAGTTTGGAACTATCAACCAAAGCGGTGACATGGGGGTGTGTATGGGTGATATGTTGAAAGAGCAACAATGGTCACAAGTGCATTGTGAGTGTGCAAATACATTGCACCATGACACACAACATGAGGCATTGCTTGCAATGTGAGTGTGCACACCCAGTGCAAAATGATGTAGCATGGGGCGTTGTGTGCAGTGTCAGCACATCCACCATGATGCACACCCACTTGTGCCCAGTGTTAATCGTGTAGTAGGGTTGTAAATTACATACTATGCAAAGGTGGAATTGGACACCTAACACAAGTGGTAGTGTTACAGCACTACACTAGACACGATGTGTGTAGGTGGGTGTAGTAGGGCTGTAAACTACTACACAGTGTGTTATAGCTCTGTCACTACAACAGTACAAAACACTACACGTAGTGTTAACACGTCATTTTAACACACATCACAGTAGTTTAATGTTTTCTAATATTGGTCACCGCATGTGAAGGCACCACAGTAACCACTTGCACCATGACACACATCTCGGGGGCACCACAGCACAGCCACACGTGGCAGTTCATGCAACTCGCCGCGCGAGCAAGCACCCCACCGCGCGCGCACGCCCGAGCCAGTGCACGCTTTGGCCCTACAATTACATGCCAGCTTCTTACCAACTTCTCTCCAATAGTTTCCTAAGTGAACATGCTAATGGCCTATTTGGAATAGGAACATTTTAATTCGTAATTCATTAAAGAAGTAGGGCGAAGGTCTTATTATCTTATACTTGTTACACGTCGTAAACAAAATGAATTGATATAATAGGCCATATGGTTTGATGGTCGTTTCCTCTTACTATGAGATGTGTGTTCGAATCCTTTTAGCCACTACATGGCACTTTATTTTCACCTTATATAATAAGTTATAACATATATATTTGGAGTTTTGAACTCTAATTCTATGCCTTATAACAGTAAAAAGTATGCCAAATGAGACAATGTTTCAAATTATTTTATATTGGGTTGGCCGTTTAACTTAAAATTATGTATATTGCAAGCGAATGGTTAGATTCGGAGTCACCACCAACGTTTTGGATCTAATGAGTCGGATCACGCTCAACGTGTATTAAACACCAAATCCGAACCCTTCAATGGTATATAATGGGTATCGAATCAAACGGAATCCATTCGGAAACCGAGCATCTCTCCAATGGCGCCCCCCTTCCCCCAAAGAGTACGTTAAGCTTTTGGGGCACTACTAGGAGGAAACATCACATTTTTGAAAAATCATACTGGGGGGGGGGTTATCTTGAGATGTACGGCTTAGATTGGTCTTACACTTGACACGTTGCATTAGTTAGGATTGAAAAATGATAAAATTAATTAAAATAATTTTTTTTAGAAAAATATTAGTTTTTAATCACTAAAAATTACCAAAAATTGAAAAAAATATGAAAAATAATTTTGGTGGATGGGGATTGTTTGGAATCAAAAGGGAACACACCCACACATGGCAGTTCACACAGCAAGCCGCACGCGCACGCACGCAGCCACTGCTCGCGCGCATAGGCAGCCCGACGCGCGCGCACGCATGCACCCCGCCACGCGCCCGAGGCAGTGCACACCTGTGCCCCACAACTACATACCAGCTTTTACCAGTTTTCTTACTAGCTTCTCTTCAATAATTTCCCTATAATTACTTACACGTTTAACCTGAAAATTCACCAAGTGAACATGGTAATGGCCTATTTGGAATAGGAACATTTTAATTC